CTTATAGGGTTTATACTGAGTACAATATTGTATAACTGTAATAATTCAACTGTAAACCTAAAAATTTACAGCCAAATTTGAAAGAGATGCATCCTACCTCAGGAAAACGTTATTGAATATGTCAATTGTGTTGTAATGATATGCTTCTTCTAAGTATGTTTTTATTAAATAAATCATTTTTAAAAATTAAAAAAAAATGCCTAAGATGCACCTTACAAAGTGCTCAACATTCTTAGTATTTACAGAAATACAAATGAAACCCACTTTAGAATTAAACCTTACCCCAGTCAAGCTGGCTATAAAAAGAACATGGAATAATGAAATTTGAGATAAATAGAAGAACTGAGAACAGTTAAGAATGACTAAGGTGAATGAAATAACATAGGCCCGGAAAAACCAAATGCTGTATGTCTTCTCTCAGCTGTGAATACTAGTGGATACTAGCCTTGAAGCCTGAGATTTGTGTGCTCAATGTGGAGTTCTTGCTTGCAAACTAGAAATGGACCAGTTGGGTGGGGTTTGCCCTATTGGGGGAGGAATAGAAAACACAGTTGACACAAACATAGAATGAGGGAATACTCAGTGCAGAAATGCTTAAGCATTTATAGGCTGAAAAGAAGGGGGAATGAGAGGGAAAGGGTGAAGTGCTGACAAAATGAAACGTATGAAAAAGCAATATGGTAACCTTCTAGTCAGTGAGCTAATTAAAACATTTACATTTAACAAAGGTAGAAGGCCTATATCCTGCCTGGCTGGACAACATTACTATTAAGATGTAAGTTATTAAGCTAAACTTCCAGAGCCATGTATGGGATACACCCTTATACAGTGCTTGTCATAGCTTCTTAGATGTCACCTAAACAGTACAAGCTCTTGCCATTCTTCTTGGATACCAACCAGAATTAAGTGACAATGCCCTCTTGTTGATGACAATGCACAGCATGATTGCAAGGAAGAGAGAAATCAAACCGGAAGTGAGCTAGAAGCTTCCTCTCTGATGGTTAGATTTCATAGAGCCACAGGGTACTATGCAGGCTGCTTGAGGATAAAAGTCATCAACAGATTTACTCAGATAGGAATCCTATTCACTACAATATCAATCTGCCATGCAACACGTGCGCACTGTCACACTAGCGATATGACTTACGGGAAATCACAAACTCTGATTGGATTTGACACCTATTTCACAAGAGTGTGTTCATGCCACGAACTACAAGCCTTATCTAAAAGTCATGGCTGAGAAGGTCTTAGGCCCTGGGGAGCACTTACTACAGTTGTTTAGCTAAACTGACATAATTTCAAATTATCTCCTAAATACTCACATTGTACCCACGGACAAATGTTACTCTTCTACCCTTATCAGAGATGCTTGTCTTTTTAAAAGAAATACAGTGAATGCAGAGAGTTACAACTGCTCAAGCTATTGAGATTAACTGAGAGTTGAGCACTTATCCCTTAACAGGACATTTATACTACCCCCTTTATGGCTCAGAGAACATTACAGAAGAGAGGTGGAAGGACTATAATATAATAGAACAGAGAGAGAAGGGCTGTGAAATGCTCTTCTGGTCATGACACCTTCATCACAACCATGGTCAGACAGCAGCCATAGTGGTCTGAATTGGGCCTGCACAAAACTTGGCTCATCAATAGTCAAAAATGGGTTAGAGAGGTTATCACAGGATGATGTTTTCCCTGATGAATTCTTTTCTACTGGTGTATTCTGGGCAAGAGCAGTCATTCTCTCCAGTTGTCTACCCACCAGTGAGCTCCAGGCTTCAGTGGATAGTTCCAAATTCATGGTCACACTGAAGGCCTCAGTTAAACTCAATCATTCTCAAAACAAAACAAAAAGACATGAGTGTGGGAAAAGAAGTTGTAGAGAGAAGGGGGAAGAAGGGAGTGGAAAGTAATGATGAGAGGGTGGTAGTAAAAGTAAACAGATTTTATCATATACATGTGGGAAATGATCAAAAATGTTTAATAAAAGTTATTAAAGGAAAAGAAAAATATTTAAAGTATTTAAAGTTATTATACTAGTGTAGGTATATTTTACCATTTATTACCATTCAGTGTGAAAGTTTTCACATAAAATTAAAGAGGTATATCTTAAGACTTTTTTTCTGATGTTGATACAAATTTAAGATAAAATATCTTAATGAAATGGGTTTCTGATATATTGATGTGTACTTTTGTTAAATAGAAACAACCATTAACAAAATGATATCTATAAATTCATATTAGAAACAACCGTTAACAAAAATGATATCTATAAATTCATATTACAAATAATGAAAAATCCCATTGTATTACTATTATTCATTCCTGAGTAAGTAGCAACTGGTTGTACGTACTCGGGCTCTGTTAGTGGTGTGGTTTCATTTGGCTCATTCACTGGGCTCCCGTCTTCATGGTTAGTAATTCTTTCATCCTCTGTTCTCATTTCTACTATGGGTTCTTTTGATCCATCTTTCCTAGAAAAACAAATAAAAAATTTTAACTTTTGAATGTATTAAATGCTCTCTTCTCACTGTCTCTGTCTTTCTGTCTCTCTCTGTCTCTCTCTGTCTCTCTTTCTCTGTCTCTGTCTCTCACACATACACACACACAAAAAAAATGGAACAAAATTTAATTTACACTAATTCCTGCCTTTATTCCAATAAAGCCGACATGAAAACATTTTTCCACTTAACTTCGTTTTCCCATATACTTTTACTGAATAATTGTAAAGAAAAAATGCTCTATCCTTTAGTCATCAGAAACGTGCAGTTTTTGGTGCTTGGCTAGTTAGCAAACATCTGTGAGTCCAGCACTTAGGAGCCAAGCAGGAGGACGGTATACTTGAGGTCAGTTTGGTCTGTATAGTAAGACTGTTTCAGAAAGGTGTTATTTTATAAAATTATTTTTCATCTTAGAATATATTTAAAAAATTTAAAACAAATTATTGTAATATATTTAAAACATTTAAGAATTATATAACATTAGAAACATCGCTTTTTAATTTTATTTCAAATTTCAGAAAATAAAATTCATAAAAAGATACCTTTCACACGGTAATATATGAATGTATCAAATTCTATGGAAGATTTGTTTTAAATGTAAATGTTAATTTCTTTGCAAA